AATGTTGAAAAAAACTGTCATGGTTTTGAGTTCTAATGTTTTGGTTTGATTTTGTATTTTTGGTTATTGTCTTGATCTATTGTCAGGTGATGATGATGATATTTAGTATGTTCCAGCTTATTCTGGGTTAGGTTTAATTCTGCCCGTGTAAAGTCCATGTTTCTTAGTCTGCGTCTTTGTTTATTGGTTCCTGTTTTATTTTGAAAGATTATGTCTTATGTCAGTGTGTCCAGCTTCGCTCCCCCTGTCTCGTTAGCCCTAACCTCTCCCAGCTGTGTCTCTCTCCTGTTTCCCATTCCCTGATTACGCCCCTGTGTATATTAGCCCTGTGTTTGCCTTTGCTCAGTGTCGTGTCCCTCAGATTGTGCTTCTGTGTTTCTGTTCTCAGTATTCATTGTTCAGTTCACGTTTTGTTTTCTGCCAGCAAGAAAGCTGAGGTTTTTGAGTTGTATTCAGCCTCCGAGTCCTGCATTTGGATCCTCACCTCCGCCTGCCCGCACACAGAGCCCTGACAAAAACAAAACAAAAGTTCCTTAAAAGGATGGAGATGGATGTGTAAACGAGTTGATCTCCACAAGAGATCAACTTTTCAAAGAACACTTTAAACAGCGAGTACTGGCATTTATCCAGGGATGAAAGTTTAAAAACGGGCGCAAACGTTGACTTAAAAGGAACGACTGATAACAAACTGTTATTAGTCAGGGAGGACAATACAACACAGCGCAGTAAAAAGGATCCTTAATCCTCACCTTAAAAAGCATAAGAAACTGTTACTAACAGTTATCTTTACAATTTATTGCACTATGTGTTTACATGTTGGATGATTTTGGCCAAAATGCATTAGAAATTGACGATATTTTTAAATTCTTAAGATCAAAGGACCAAGTAGCAAGATGTATATATTTTTTATCATTTATTAAAACTTATCTTCTTTAGCGATTGTACATTTTTTAACTAATGCTTTTGATAAAAATTAATGCTTTAAGCTGATAACCTGTATTTAAGAAAAGGAACAGTCTTCTGTAATGAAACAATTTAAGACAGGTCTACCAAGCAATCGGTTTTGTTCCCCCTAAACGATGAAAAAATCATTCAAGAATGCATTATGAGAGGTATTATATTAAGATGAGAAACAGAGTCAAATGTTTACATCCAGTTTCAGTAAGGAGTTCTCATAAACATTACACACACAGGCAGTCCAGGAGAGCACAGGCTTGAGCTCTAATGAGCTTGTGTTCAGACATAGTGCGCATGGACCCTTGGCTGCATTAAAGGATAATGGGGTTGATTCAGAACCACTTAAAACCTTGGCTGTCATT